GGGTTATTTTTGCCTAATGTTAAACTTTGTTTGATGATCTGAAACATTTAAATGTGAATTTGATAGATATGGAAAAAACAAGGACTTGTGCAGAGGGTAAATACTGTTTGACAGCACTGTATAGATATGTGTATGTTTTAGTGGATTTGGGGTGTTGTCGTACGAGGTGAAGACAGCTGCTAGAGTTCCCACGGGGATGTTGTGCTCAGGTCGCTGAAGGTCTGAGCTCATGTTGAAGCCTGCCATAACCCCTACAACACACACAAAGATGGGCAAACCACAAAATGTACACAAGGTGCTTGTCAACGCAAACTTCATTTTTACATTGCATATGAAGCAAAGATTGATAAGCAGGATTTGAATGTTTGCATGCTTTTCCTATTCTGGGATTTTCTTTTTGTGTGAAATACAGAAATCTAAAAGAAGTTGTTGAGGATCTACTCACCTGTAGCAGCAGGGAAGAAAACCCCAAATACAGTAAAGAAGTTTTCCCCAGTGGTATAATCTGGCATAGTGTTGCTACTGAGCAGCCCAGCTGAATAACCAATGAAACCGTGCTCTGAAAGTGAAGACAAACTCACATAAAGCACATCAATACAGAAAGGCATGTAAGAATTACCAGGATTTCTTCACTGAGTAAACAGTTGTGAACATTAAATGATGATGATGAAGGAGGAAGAAACTATGCAAACTCCATTAGCTAGAGGTATGAAAATTAGTTTCAGGTCTTTCTTTAGACATGAAAAGTCAGCTCTCTGTTAGGCTTTTACTTATGTATCAATATTTTAGGCAACAAACACACAATCCCAGGCTGTAAATGACTCATAACAAGAATACTTAACTTTCTATCTTATGTAACATTCATCTGTTTGAAATCAGTTCATGAAGGGACACATAGCAGCTCCACCTGGAATAATGATGGTTATTTCTCTAGTGCATAAGGGAATAAACTGGTTTAAAAATAAAGAAGAAGAAACATTTGCTTCTTTAACATGTTTAAGGAACAATTATAATAATGAGTTTCTATTTCTCACTTCCTATTAATACAACCCAACAAATGTTGCAGTCTAGTCCAATCTTAAAATGTTTGTAGCTGCTACATAGGGCCAGCAGTTACCTTGTGATTTTAAAACACATCACTCTCACAAATTGATTAATAATGTGTTCTTAGATTAATAAGCAGTCACCATATTTGTCCTTTTCCTGACTTTTTAAGCTACGCTTTGTGCAGAAAATTAGATCGACTGTATAAGAAATCACAGCATACAGAAAGGAAAAACATAGAGCACTATATACCAGGTGTTTGAACAGTACAGCATTACATTTGCATAGTCATTAGAGCTCTCCATAACTCAACAGCATCTGCATCATAGTCAGCAATATAACACCAAGTAAATAAATGCTGCAAAGTCTATTTCAGTCAAAATAAATGGCAACAACAACCGGTGACACCTTTCAAATCTACAGACTAAAGGCATGCCGGGATGGCTCTAGGTCAGGTCAGTTTGCTGAATGTGTGAAGGCGGCCATTTAAACTACGCAGTCTGAAGGACCCGCCTATGTTACAAAACCGGACATTTCCCTCTTGGTTATCTTGTGATGGGAAAGAATGTGTTCTCTCAGATTAATGACATGTTTATCCAAAAGGAAGTTACCACCCTTTTCAGAAGCTCAGCAGCTTCCAAGTTTGGGAGAAAGAATGAAAGTGAGCAAGAGAGGGAGACAGAGAGCGGGAGGAAAGAGCGAGAAAGGGAGAGACACATAGAGAGAGAGATAGAGACAAGAGAGAGATAGAGAGAGAGAGAGAGAAGAGAGAGAGAGAGAGAAAGAGAGAGAGAGAGAGAGAGAGAGAGAGAGAGAGAGAAAGAGAATGCTCATTTTTTCCCTTTTGTTTTACAAAAGGCCAAAAGAAAAGGCCTTGGATACACTCTCTGTTCCAGCTTTGTATGATCTCTAGCATATGCGTTTAATGAGGTCAAAAAAGCTCAAAAAAACTCCTGTTCACTTTGTGACCCACTAGGATCGCCCTCTATCCAAACAATCATGATCTAACAAACCCAGGGCAGCCAGTGTCAAACTGCATCAAGAGCACCCCACCCATATTACAACATCATAGTCCAACATCCAAGTGGGCTCAACTCTGCCAGCTCTCACGGCTAAGCCCTCCAAGTACTTATTTTGGAGCATTCACATATTCATTACACTTTAATATAAAATCCTTATATGTACTACATTCACTGCAAATTGTCCCCCTCATTTTCTCTAGGAATAATAACAATGATAGGCTGGCAAAGATTTGTGTTGGGCCCTGTTGCAAACTACACCTCATTTTAAAAACTACAGCATCATAAGACTTCACACAAGATCCAGAGACCCCGTTTAAAGCCGTATTACTTTCATTGCATTGGTAGTGTGTTTGAGATCATTGCCAAGTTGAAAAATGAAGTTGCCAAGCAGAAGCTTTAAACAAGGTGGATTAAAAATATGATGGTACTTTTCTGCATTCGTTAATTATGTATCTACAAGATCCTCAACACCACTACCTGAAATAAAGACCCAAACTATGACAGAGCCTCCTCTGTGTTTTACAGATGGCTGTAGACACTCACTGTTGTTCATCTCTCCTGACCTCCTCCATACATGCCGATAATGATTTCAACCAAAGATTTCACATTTGGATTCAGGTTTCACACATAAATCCAGTTCTTGTGCAATTTTGCATTCTTTAGCCTTTCTTCCCCATTTCTTTTCCTTAAAAAATGACTTCTTGACAGCTGCCCTTCCACTGAAACCATTTCCTACAAGGTTCATGTTAAATCATTCTTCTGAAAATGGTCAGGTACAAGGACTGGACTAAATATGAGTGAAAAAGCAATGAAATGTCTGAAGAACAACTCTAAAAGTCCTTTAGAAAACCTGGAGAACTATTTCTCAAGACCATCCACCTATTTATCCATAAGAGGTGACTCAAGACTTTTGCATAGTATTGTAAAAGTAATATTAAAATGTGTATGAAGGAAACTTTGACCATAGATGTCCACAATATATAATATTATACCCCGGAGCTTTCCCAGTTTCCAAATAAGTAAAGTCATCTAATTACCATAATTAACTGACAATTGCTTGCTTTATGTGGGGCCTTCTTTATGAAGTTTGCAGCGTGCAAGCAACCATTATTACCCCTAATATTTATTCATCAAAGAATCCAATATATAATACCGAATCAGAAGGTAACTCCCACTAGGCTGATGATCCTTTTTAATACACAGCTAGAAGACTTGTCCTGACACGTCTTCAATTTGATCCATAGCATTTTGTAGAGATGTAGAGCTTTATAAGCCTATTTACTATGTTTCCA